GCCAATTTCCCCGTCCGTCTTGTGGGCCTGACAATCGACATGCAGGACAAATTGTTGACGGCATTTAATGTCACAGCAGCCAATTAGCTGTCCCCATGAAAATGCTCGTTTCTTGTTGGTTTCCTTTTTTCGGTTTGTTTATTTGTATTTTGCCAAAATGTTTTTGTTACCCACTTGTTGGATTTTTTTTGTATAATTTTCGTTGGCGGTACGCACGGCTGCATGTTGAGCCAAGCTAAAAAAAAACAACCCGAGAAACAAACAATCGCCACAAATCGTTAAACTGTCAGCAGCTTTTAAAGCGCGTGATTATGTCCAAGTCAACGTTGAGAGTTGAGAGACAAGCGCCAGTTGCCACAGAGTTTTTTACGAATTTTTCCGAGTCTTTTTTTGTGCCCAAAGAGAAAATTTTCAATTGCCCAAAAATGCACATTTAAGTGGTGTTTATTTGTTGCAACATTTTTCATTCAGCATTCAGTGGGGACTATGAAAATTTAAACTGACTCTTTGAGTCTTAGTCTTTAAATGTGGTTAAGCATTCAATTTGTTTTTATATGAACTTAGTTAAACATGTGTCGAAAATGTTTATTATATAATTGTTTATATCTTTGCACATGTTTTGAAATTACCTGATTATCTAAATACTGCTTAAAAGTACAAAAAAAAATACAATTACAAAAAACCTTTTTAAAACTCAAAAGAAAGAAACAGAGCTTTTCCAATTTGCATATTTAAGCAATCGCAATTAGCCATCACAACAAATGGCAAAAATTGCAACATTCGGTGGTGTCAATTTACTTGGAAACTCTTTGAAATTATCTTTGAACAGCAGCCAACGTGTCGTATGCGTAACATGGTTTTAATTATGCATACAAAGAACTCTCAATAACCAAGCCATACACAAAAAATGTATAAATAATTGAAAAATACAAAGTGACATTTGTGTGCATTAAACGGGTAAGACACTGTACCGCGATTGGCATTATCTATCCGACTATTAAGACTTCATTACACATGTCATATTTGCCATTTGCGCAGCAAAGAAATAAAAATAGGTAAAAATCCACATAGCACAAATTAAATTCCAAAGCCAAAGTGCTCGTTAACTTTTCGTTTATTTATTTTTGATTTTGTCCGCTTTTCATCTGAACAAAATTTGGCTGCGAAATATTTTGTTAACAACAATTTGCCGTTTACAGTTTCCCTGCTGCCGTTCTGGCTGCTGCGATAAGCAGGCGAAGATAAGACAGCCGCGGTAGCTGTAATGCAGTAGAGCACAGTGATCCATGCGCCCACAAAGCACTAAAAGACCAGAAGTTATTTAAGAAATATATAGACTGAGCACATTTCTGGGATGTCTACCACGGTGCTGCAGCATTGAGAAACCCCGAAAGAAATCGTAAGTGCAATGCAGTTGCAGTCGCAGCTCAGTGCAACTGGCATCGGCTCGATTCAGCTGAGTTAGCTGTGCAGTAGCCGCGGCAACATCGTTAACACGGCGCAAAAACAGCCATTAAAGCCAAGTTCCAGTTGGAGCTGGCTCCCTGGATCTTGGAGTGGGTCTCTCGGAGTCTGCGTCTTGTGCTTGCCGCATTGGTGACATGCACAAAATGCATGTATATGAGCACCTACGTACGATAACTCGGCTCGGGTAATAATCGTCGCAGTTAAAACCATTGCTGCTGGACATTCGCTTAGCCGGAGTACGTAAATCATAAGCATAAAACGGACTGCGACTCCAACTGTGCAATGCCAAGTGCACCGAGAAAAATAGGGGACTTTGAAGGCTGTCTGTGAATAGGAAAATGTATTGTAAAAGACAAACTAAAGTTTAGTGGTTCCAACGAACGAATTTTGGTACATGGTTTTATATTTTGTATTTTATCAAAGGCAAGTTTCGCTAGTTTGTGGAATATTTTCCGCAGTGCACATGGAACTGCATTATGCATGTGCACAACTTGGGAAACCATCGGTCGCACTGTCGCTGCCGCTGCCGTTGCCGTTGCGTATGCTCCACGTTAATTAGCTGAATCGCCCCAAGTGGCTCCGAGTGGCACCATCTTTTCCAAGTTAATGAGAGTGAAAGGCGGTTAAAATATATAAAAAATAAATTCGCATTTTTGCCAGCGACTCTAGGCAAATTAACCGGCGATGAGTTTGAAAGTCGAGCCGGTGGCGATTGCGTTCGGATGTTGAGAACAGGTCGACTACGTTTACAACCAGCAATTATACGTGTTTGCATACTGCGATTCTCAATGAGAGTTTCGCGTTAGTTGTCTATAAATTATGAGCCTAATGACGGCCTGGGTTTTATGGAATCCGGGCTATTTGGATTTTGAGTGCTTTTAACGCTCAGTTGAGTCACACAAACAAGGAGCTCCCATTAACCTTCCCAGGCCCGCCTGGGCATTATGAGATCACATGTGCTGATAGCGGAAAGGAGAAACATTTGGCATTTTCGGCCATTTGCACTCGGTGGTGCAGCGGTGCAGTGGTGCAGCGGTGCAGTTTGTTTGCCACCTCGCTGCCAGTTGACAGCCGTTTAATTTACGCTTTGTTTGTTTGTTTGTTTGTGTCTTTTGTTTGCGTCCTGAGGTGAATGTTTGATTTATAGCCCGATTATAAGCCGAAATGTCATAGATTTCTGCTGCGTTCGATTTCAGCGTGGATTCGCTAAGCCTCTTAGAAATAGCAAACAAACCTCATCGAATCAATAGTAGTACTTAGAAGCTTATTAACCCAATTGGATTTAATTTAGAAATGTTTTTTTGTGTCACTAATCCGAATTCCGTTGGTTTCCCCATATTTTGTAGTGAAGCAAGTGTCAAAGATAATCCACACAAATGGCAATTGTAATTTTCGTTCAATATATAGTTTTTCGCAATTATCTCTGGCCAGCGGACAACGTGTCGTATGAGTAACATGATTTTAATTAAGCAAACAGAAGATAACAACATCGTGGCTAACCCCTCTGTGAATTCCCCTTGCAGGTGGCCGCCCGCAGCCTTGGTGGTGTCGCAATAACCGAAACGGTGGCCAAAATCGATCGCCCATCTCGATCAAGCACTCGGCGGACAGCATCCGTCGGCCCACGAGCAACTCCGGCGTTTGGACCTGGCTGGGCGGCAGTCGCCGCTCCTCCGCCGGTCCCGACCAGATCGGTCCGCCGTCGACGTCGCCGGCGGAGAACCACTATACCCACATGGACGACGCCTACAGTCCGGTGGGCGTGAGTGAGGCCCTCTACGCGGAACTGGATCGCGAGTCCGTGCGATCCGCCAATCCCTCATATCAGAATACGGCCTACAGTCAGTGTGGCGAGGTGGGTACCCAATGGTTCTCTTAAATTGAGTAACCTACTTGCAGAAATCTGTCATTTACTACCTATAGCACAATTCGTAAATCCGAAAGTAATCCTGCAATCCTGCCTCCATTACAGAAATACAATTACCAGGGCCACGAACAGGACATTCCCATGGTGGTCTCCTCGGCGCCCAGCAGTGCTTACTACTCGGATCTGTCGGTGACCGCGATGCCCGGCGGAGCGAGTGGCAGCAATCAGGGCGCCTACGAGATTGTCGGACTGAACGTGATGTCCCAGCCGCTGCCCAACTGGGATCATCATGGAGGAGGCGTGGGAGGCGGCGGCGGCGGCGGTGGCGGGGGCGTGGTGGCTGCAGGCGCAGCAGCCGCCATCCTTGGAGGCGGTGGTGGAGCGGGCAATGGCCTTACGGCAGGCGAGGCTGCGGCGATGACGCAACGCCGGGGTCCTCGACTGGCGGCCATCAACGAGACGAGCACCAGCACCGTGCCCTCGGACTATGTCTGAATGAAGTAAACCTTTAAACCTTTGCAACAAAACAAGATAATGTGAAATGTTCAGCGAGCTTAACATGTTAATAGGATGTAGGAGTACGTTATATACACCCCACAGATGTAAGGTTAAATTTACATAATATTTAACACTTGTATACCATTTAGTGATTAGCGGGACTTGTGTCTTTGGTTAATGTCTGAATTATAATCTGTACCCGTTGCCGATATTGGGATATATTTATACACACTTACAAGGCAAGAATGTATTATATGTCTAGTTTTTATGTAGTCTCTAAGCAACGATTTAATCGTGGGTGATATTTAGCCTAAAAATATGCTATATTCTTATGTTCTACGTACTTTAAACATTTTCTAAAAATGTAAAAACGACAACAAACGCATTTTTCATAGGCTTAGAAGAGTGAAGTGGACGAAGGACAAGAAATCGTATTTCCCCCCAGGATCAGTACACGCAAATATAGAAACGATATATACATACGAATACAACATATTTATACACTCAATATTTACAGCAGCCGAAAAAAATAAAACGCATTTAGCTCACCAACATATATAATTATACATATATATCTATAACAATAACTGAAGAATCATATTTACAACGATTTTAACGCAACAGATTTCACCATATTTACCGGGGGAAATGGCCGTGGCACGTCATATCATTTACCACACCATTATACATATGTATGCAACGCTATCTATATACTATACCATATACAATAAACAGACTCACGACCCTTAGCAGATGTACTTTAGTTTTTAGTGGACCGCGGCAGGAAGCGAATCCTCTGCCGATTAATTTAGTAACACACAAGAACACACGCATACACAATTCCTGTACATTATTGTTTTAGTTGAAAATATAATTAAACAATTTATTGATATTTACATTCAGAATCCCAAATGGAAGTGGTTCTTTATTGGAGTAGTTATTGGTTGATACAGTAAGTACAATAGTAGTCTTAAAGTACATAATATCCTTTGTGGTCAAGTAAGAGATATTACTTCATAAAAATATAAATATCAAAAAAACAGGTTAATAAATTCAACAAACTTAAAGGTTAAAAACAAACAAAACAAAATCAACAACGAACTATACTACAGTTCCTTAAGGAATATGCACTTTACCCTATACTTCCTGATTTGGATAACTTGACATATTCTTAAACGAAAAGAACTAAAACCAAAGTGTATTGCAAAAATCCCCGCATCCTTATACTTCCTGATTTATTGTCATTATTCGAAGTTATTCACTTATATTATGTGAGATGAAAAAGTGGCAGTACATTAAAAAATGTCATTTACCCATATCTTCCTGATTTTTGTTTCGTTATTATGGGTAATTTGACATATGGTATAGATAATCGGTATGAACCTAAAACTACACTAAAAGAATTTATTTACCCTACACTTCCTGATTAGTGTTATCAAGGGTTATTGCCTCACATATAATCTCTTCCTGGTCTGCTTACATTATTAAGGGTTATTGTCATATACTTGTACCCTACAACTTCTGATTTATTGTCATTAACCGTCATTAACTTATACCCCGGATTTATTGTCATTGTTTGGGGTCACCCTCATAACCTTATAACCTACATCTGATTTATTGTCGGATTATTGTCATATTAATTAGTTAATCGGTAAGATACAAAAACTACAGCTTATTAAAAAATGTTGTTTACCCTAAACTTCCTGATGTGTTATCGTTATTAAGGGTAATGCGACGTGCACTTGAGCCATTAAACACTAAGACTAGTTTATTAAAAATTGCCTCTTTCCTACTCTTCTGGTTTGTTATCGTAATATCGTAATATCGTAATAAAACCCTCAATAAAGGAGGTGTGTAAATATTGTTAAGTTGTGAGTCGAGTAAAATGCGATATGAATGTTGTACTTTTCGCGGAACCTAAAATATAAATATGTTAACTCTTCTAACCCATACTAGTCAGTTGCAGCAGAGCACAAGCGGTCTGCTGGTTCTCCTCCGATTCGTGGACCTTGCGATGGGTGCGCAAGGCAGAGGGTTGTGTAAATCTCTTGCCGCAAACGTGGCACTCGAAGTTCTTTTCGCCAGTGTGGGTCATTTCGTGGTACTTTCGCGTATCGGGGGTGGCGAATTTCTTTTCGCAATAGTTGCAGGCATAATCCCGTGCCTTTTCGTGGATTGTGCGGATATGTTTCCTAAGACTCGTTGAGCTGTTGCACACTTTGGGGCAATCCTTACAGGACCAGGTCCTCTCCAGCGTATGATAGTTGATATGCAGTCGCAGTTCGTTCTTGGTCGTCTTCTTGAGACCACAGTAGGGGCAGCTAAAGTTTTTTATGCCCTGGTGCCGCATCATGTGAATCTTGAGCTTCTCCGCGGTATAGAATCGCATTGCGCAGTCCGGCAGTTCGCAGGCATATGGCAGCACCAACTGGTCGCCGTGTGTGAACCGATGCTGACTTAGAGCAGAGCCAGTCTTGAATACCCGACCACAGAACTCGCACATATGGGTCTTCAAAGGCTTGCCAATGTCGTGAGCCTTGCTCTGGTGGTATTTCAGCGAAGCCTTGTGCCGGTACATCCTGTTGCAGCCTTCCTCTTCGCAGACAAACCGCATGCCCACTTCCGAGTGCTCCTGCTCGTGCTGCCTCAGGTTCTCGAAACGGTTGAAAGCTTCCTCGCAGCCGGGCTCAGTGCAATGATACAACATGTGCCCTTGGTGCTCCTTCTTGTGGAGAATCAAGCGCTTCTCCTCTCGAAACTCGTCGGCGCACAGGTCGCACTTGTATGTGGTCAATGGGGGCTCCTGAAATCAATGAATACACCTTATCTAAGACTCCACTTGAAACCTAAAACCTAACTCACTTCCAAAGCTTTCTTTTCCGTTTCCGGGTTTTTCGGGACATTTTCGGCGAAGGTATTCCATACTAAGGCTGGCGGTGCCTGTTCGGCGATTTTCTGAGTATTCTGTGCACTTAAGTTGGTATCGCATATGATCATCTCAGGGGGCTCCAACAGCAGTTCCTCCAGCTCCTCCTCCTCATCTTCGTCGACCTCGTAAACAGGTTTCCTGCGATCTATTTTCTTCCAAGTTACCAGACTTTTGGAACGCCATTTATTATCGGCTATAATGCATAGTGCTCGGAAGGAGTGGAACTTCTCCAGGAGCTCGTAGCACTCAGAGCAAATTTCGCTGGGCAGAATATCCTGGTCATCAGGATCCACCACCAAATTTGTGCACTCGGAAAATTTGACGGCGAGATATGGATGATGGAGCAAGTTGTAGGCCTCGTCGTCGCTAGCCACATCGCAGGAGCATACGCGGCATTTGTCCAGGTGTCCCATCAAATAGGTTTAGTCAAAGTTAATGAGATGCTTCTATAAATTTGAGCAAAAATATTTTTTTGTGTTCTGTCTGCCTTTTTTCTTATCGGTGTTGTTTGTATACTAAACAGCTGATAGGGCTGACGAAAATACCGCTGATAGCGATGGTGATGGCAAATGAACGCGTGAGTTGTGAGCGGCAAAATAAATAACAAATACTCTTACAAATATCTACTGTAAATAGTATATCAAATATCAAATCATAATCATAGAATTTTTTTAGAAAAACGACATAAAATAAATAAAATTATTCGGTGCTCACAGTGACTCATAACACTGCGTTACTCGTGACACATCTCTAGCACCCCGTACTAACACTGCGTTACTCGTGACACATCTCTAGCACCCCGTACTAAAGTCGCATCTCTAATGGGGGTGTATAAAAGGTGCTGCTGGAATTTGTTGTTTATTGTTTTCTAGCACAACAATGGATAATTCCAATGGAATCCACTATATTGAGCTATCGCCAAACCCCATACGATTTGATGCTGTGAGCCAGCTAACCAATGTGTTCTTCGATGATTCCAACAAACAGGTATCGCTAAAACACGCTACAAATTCCGATTAGGAAGGGCTAAACCTATATCTTTCAGATATTTGCTGTGCGATCTGGAGGCGCTACTGGTGTGGTGGTTAAGGGGCCCGGATCCCCCGACGATATCGTCATCTCCTTCTGCATGAGCGACCGCGGCGGTGCCATAAGGTCCATCAAGTTCTCGCCGGACAACCAAATCCTGGCCGTGCAGCGAAAGGAGAATTCCGTGGAGTTCATATGCTTTCAGGGTGATCAGCCTCTGCTGCAGGATATTATTACACACCAGGTGAAGACTACGATCCATGGCTTTGTGTGGGTGCACAATCGAGAGGTGGCCCTGATATCGAATACTGGCGTGGAGGTCCACACCGTAGTTCCTGAGAAGCGGCAGGTGCGCTCTGTGAAATCGCTGAGTATTGGCATCAAGTGGTTCGCCTGGTGCTGCGATGCCAATGTGGCTCTGCTTTGCACCAGTGAAGGAAACACGCTGATTCCCGTCCTGGTCAAGCAGAAGGTCATCACCAAGCTGCCTAAAGTGGACTGTAAGTTGATCACATACTTCTATTTGTGCTAAAGTCCTTTTAAAACCTTTTAATCTCCCCTTCCAGTGGGCAATCCGAGTCGCGATGTACAGGAGAGCAAGGTAACCTTAGGACAAGTGTACGGCGTGCTGGCTGTACTAATCCTCCAGTCAAATAGCACCACCGGACTGATGGAAGTCGAGGTGCATTTGCTCAACGGACCTGGCTTGGCCCCGCGAAAATGCCATGTCCTTCGCTTGAGTGTGCTAGGTCGATTCGCCATCAACACGGTGGATAATCTGATTGTGGTGCACCATCAAGCTTCGGGCACTTCGCTGCTATTCGACATTGCCCTTCCCGGAGAGGTGATCAATGAAATAACCTATCATACACCCATAACTCCGGGCCGCTCCATCAAACCCTTTGGTTTGAAGCTGCCTTCTCTTTCGCCTGATGGACTAATCTTTCTGTGCGAGTTGTGTGAGTACTAAAAGTATTCAAAAATCCCATTGTGTGACACTTACGCTTTCCATGCAGATTCCACACACTGGGTACTGTTCCAGCCCAATATTGTAATCGATGCCAAGTTGGGCTGCATGTGGTTTTTGAACCTCTGCATTGAGCCATTGTGCCAACTGATTTCGGATCGCATTCGACTTACGGAGTTCCTGCTGCAGCGCAGCAGTGGCAAACAGGTGCTACTAAAAGTCATTGGGCAGCTAGTAGATGATCAGTACAAGGGAACTCTCTTGCCAGTCCTAGAGACCATCTTCAGCCGAATTAACAAGATCTACGCGTAAGTTAAAGATGCAATTTGATAAATACATCTTTATTATTGTTTATGTGGTATATTTTAGGTCTTGGGTTCAGTTGGAGCTGCAGAATCAAACCGCTCAGCCATCGAACGTTAAAACTACGACCCTTAAACAGAGCACACCGCCCATTGTGCTCATTGAGCAACTGGATATGGTGCAGATCTTTCAGCACATAGCTCGCCGACCGTACACGGAATCCATATTGATGCTGTACCTCCAATCCCTGAACAAGTTCAACATTGCCGCCCAGGAGGAGCTGAGCAAGATGATCATCACCGAGCTGATCACCAATCGCAGCTTCGACACCTTGCGACGCTTGGTCAGCTATTCAATGCTGCTGGAATCCAAGTCGGTGGCTTGCTTCTTGTTGTCTCATTCAAATGTGGATACGGCGATTTCACAGGTGGCCATTGACATGCTGGGCAGGATTGAAGCACATGAAGTGGGTATTTGTTTGAGAAAATACTATTTACTAAGATGTATTTTTTAGATCATCATTGAAGTAATGCTGGGTCAAGGCAAAGTTATTGATGCCTTAAGGCTGGCTAAAAACTCATTGGGTCTGGAAAAAGTGCCGGCTCGAAAGTTTCTGGAGGCTGCTTATAAGACAAAAGATGATCTGATATTCCACAGCGTGTTCCGCTTCTTCCAGATGAGAAACCTGAAACTTTATGAGACCCTGTCGTTTCCCAAGGGTAAGCAAATTTGTAATCTTGAATTGAGGCATCACGTTACAAACATATTTTTCCCCATTTAACAGCTGAACAATGCACGGAATTTATACAGCACTATAACAACACTTTTCCTGCTGAAAACCCTACCAGACAGCCTATAAGCTAAGGGAATAAACAAATATAGTCGTTTGTGATTATTGTAATTAAAAGTGTGCTTTAGAAATATACTTTTGTATTGTATTGTAAATATTTCCAAATGAAATGATATTCATCATTCAACATATTTCAAAGTTATTTTATGCGAATGTAAAGGAATGACACAAACAGAAACCATAAATATACGTATTTATCATGCAATTTCTTTACTTACACATACAATACACATAGTTGTACAATAAATACATAGAGGAATAGATGGAATATACAAAAAGCACGAAGCAACTAAATAAATCGCCTGGGCGGTGCCTTTAGCTGCAAGGCACCCATTTCCAGGGACGAGGAAATGCTGATTAGATTTTTGTTTGGCCGCGGCAAGCCAATACTATGGTCTGAAATAGCCGTAAAGCACCGTGGACATTCTTCAAACTGAGTCTCCGCATCCTCCATGCACTGCTCGTGCATACCGTGCCCACAGCCGCCAAAGATTAGCACCTGGCTGTGATCGTACAGCCTTTGGCGACACACGGAGCACTTTGTGGTGGTCACCCAAAGTCCACGACGCGCATGTTGATACCGCCTTACAAACTGCAGGTGAAGATCTTGGCACAAGGCGCCAGCAGATGCGCGCAAAGCCTCTGTTTTGTGCCTCGAACTATCTAGCATGCCCATTAGAAGATCCTTTATATCACCAAAACTACTGGACACATTGTGGGTATTCATAATCAATTGAACCAAATTATGCAGATCGATATGCTGCGAGGCCTCGTGCAGCAGAGATTTGGTAATGGACTGAAGTTCCTGATGCGGCAGAATATATTGCAAAAGAGCAAACCAACAGCGTTCCAGCTCCTGAGCTGGTAACGTTTCCACAGACCGAGCCAAAAGAGCCGATATAGTCTGCGCCTCCTTGGCTGCTTCCTCGCCAGTAGCGGACTTGAGCAGTTCCATGGACAACTCGAAGGCTTTCGCATAGCTCTCTTGCTTTTCATACAGATAAATCACAGATCGGTTGAGGTGATGGCTTTCAGCTATGGCAATGGCCTTCTCCAAGCGATAACCCGAATTGGAGCGAAGGAATTCCTCGACGGTAGACGCCGACTCCATTTTACAATACAGTTCCAGTAGTAGCTCCATTTGACTGGCTTCCAGTTCGCTTTTACGATCATTGAGGCACCGCAGAAACAGATATAGCAAATTCTCCTCCCCTCTCAGGCTATCTAAAAGCTCATAAATCCTATCTGGATAGTGCAAGGCCAGCAAGCGAGTGGTTTCCTTGGCATTGATCGCAAGCAGCTCTCTTATATGCCTTTTCAACTGCCGGTAAATGCATCGCCTGGGTGTGACTACATGGCGTTCCATATAAGCAAACATGGTTTCGTGCCTGGCTTCGTTTCGGATGTAGCAATCCAGGATGGTATCAAAGCGCTCAAGCTTCTCCAGTAGGTACTCCACTACACAATAGCACCTCGCCTTCTCTGCCAAGCGCAGCTGCTCCTCATCGCTGCTGATCTCTGCCAGGCAGTTGGAGGATAGTAGCTCGTGCCAAGCATTTTCTCGTTCAGAGTGTTGGCGACTGCTCTCGTTTGCAATTTCCTCCTGCGCCAAGTGGCTTAAAACTCGTTCCAAGAGCTGTCTATCTCGCGGCAGGCATTGCATCGAAATCTGCTGAGCAATGAAGTTCAGCAGGCAGCCAATCTCCGCCCACTGGAAGATGAAAAGTTGTAGGATGACTGACAATCACAATAACAAACCCTTACCGTTGCATTCTCGGGCGTCATGATTTCCAGCAGCAGATTGATAATCCTTTTGCGATGCGAAATTCCCAGCTCGTTGCTAAACTCTCGTTCCTGAAACGCCAGCGATATAACGTTCAGGGTTTCCCGAGTATCGAACTTGAGGAGAGCTCTTAGATAGGGATAGGGCAGCTCATCTCCGGCATTCTCCTTGGATTGCTGGGAGGTCAGACAGCGGAGGACATCGTGCTTTACTTGGTGCACCAGCTCGACGGGAATTTCGCCCGTGGGATAGCCCCTTCCCGCCAGACAACTGGACACGTAGACCAGCAGGCAATTCCCCAAATCCGTCTCCTCTGGGGTCACCAATGGAAGAAGTTCCGTCAGCGCCGCCGTATAATCATTCAGGGCTTGTGTGTTGAGGTAGATTTGGGCCCTATACAGACGGTGCTTCTTCACAGCCTTAAGTACCTGGTTGAGATCCAGGCACATCCAATCCAACTTCAGGATAAGCTGTTCGAGTTTGGCAGGGGAGTGTTCCAGCCAGTAATCCACCAAAGCTTGGGATATCACGGGATTGACACTATGTATTGTTTCCTTTTCTATATGATCGGAAATGTGCTGTAGGAAAAGTTCGGCACTGCTGTTGTGCAACTTCTCCCACAGCTGCGTCCACAGAAGATCTAGTTCACCCACGGTGATCAAGCAGTTGACAATGGCTCCGAGACAATAGTCTGGTGCCCGGGCGGAATTGGCGATGTATTCCTTAAAGAGCATTATGATACGCTCCTTGGCTTGTGCACGTTTCCTTGGGCGATCCACAGAGGCAATGTAGCCATCTAGTGCCAGTTGGCAGGCTTCCTGCCACCGATGATGTTTTACCTGGAAACGATAAAGGTAAGGTTACGATTTCCCATTTGAATACGAATTTGTGATCTTACCAGAAAGCTTATTCTCTCCGACCAAGTCCTTACTCCAATTATATGCAGCGATCTGGCCCCTAAGACGTATAGCTGGGTTCCTCTTGAAACCACAGAGTTATAACAAGCATTTGAGCCAGCTAAAGCGAAAGCAGGTGAGACATTTCCGCCAGTGGCCAGTCCTTTAAACTGCGCCGATCCGTAAACCAGTCCTGCGTTGGCCATATCCATACATTCTAATTCCTTGCTGGATCGCACATCCACCAAATGAAGTATTTCCGCCGTATCCAATGAGGCAACACACTTTGGTCCCAGCCAGTGAGCGGAGAGAAGACTCCCCTGCAGCTGGACATGACGTAGATATAAAAGCGTGATCCGTCCGTTCGAGACAAACAGTTGGTGAAAGAATAATTGATTCCCGCGACCCACAACGATCACGGGGTCCACGGAGCGGGAAGTATCTGCCGCTTGTATGAGTACTAAGTGCCAGGCGAGGAGAGGTAAGCAATCAGGAGGTCCCTGGAGCACATGGTATTTGATGACCCTCAATCTTGGTCGGACAGTTACGATGAAATACTTGGATAACGTTGCCAGAGCCACAATGCAGTACTGATCCAATTCATGGCGCCCTTGGGAATCCATTATTAAAGGTTCCACGGCGCAGACCTCTCCGCGAGCGCCGGAGAAGAGGCATCTTGATTGGCAGCCTCGGATGCCCAGTTTCCGGGTGAAACTAAGAGACCACACTGATCCACCGGCATCGGCACACAGGGCCAGTGATGATCTGGAGGTCCATTTGACATGCAGTACGCCGGTGTTTGGCGTTATGACGTCGAACAGTTCCCGGAGGACATCACCCGTTTGCGTGTCCAGCATGGCAACCAGTCCTCTAGAGTAACCGGCCAAAAGTCGCGTGGAATCCGCATTGAAGGCCAAACTGGCCACTGCACCCTGGCCATGCTTGTCCTGATGGGCCCACCTAAGGGTTTGTGTTACATCGAAGTTCAAAATGTGTCCGTGTGATGTTCCGATGGCTATGAATGCGGAAACGGCACAGGAACTGGCTGCTCCGGCATTAACACGTTCCGCTGCTGAGGAAAGTTGGGCGGAGATGCCATGTAGGAGGGTGTACCTCATTATGGAGCCTCCGCCACCTCTGCCATCTGTTCTTATCGTGGAGTCCTCGCCAATAGAAGGCGTGGGCGTGGCATGGGGCACCGGCATACCAAATTCGGAAGCCACATCCGAATCCGCCTCGAATTCACTGAGCACCGCCTCCAAAGTAGGCAGCACATCTGTGGGTGGTATTGCAAACTCGGCATCATCAAGCTATAAGTAGATAAATCCAGAGAAAGTGTTATCTAGGACACTCCATTTTCGGGTAATCACAACTTACATCTTCGAAATCCAGCTGCAGGGATTCGGCCAGCAGACTGTCTGTAGATCCGCGCTCCGACTCCAGCAGAGACTGCAGCGACGGGGCCTTAAGCTCCGACATGCTCTCCGTTCTTTCGATCCTGATCCCTCCCCCAAACTAATAATTTTAAGCAATTCTGTTATTATCAATGAGTTTTACGCCCATCAAAGGACTGCCCACTCGTTTGCATAACAGATGTCATTTGGTTGCTTATCGGTGCTTGTTATCGATGAATTCAGAGGACAACCTTTACTGAATTTGGCCAATAATAGGGGTAAAAATGGAAAAAAAAAATTGTTAGAGGCATATATTTTTGGGTATTGTTATTATAAATAACTGTAATTTTAATGTATTAATTCAGAAAGATGTTAAAAACAGAAAACAATCTAAGACATAATAAAAGTATAATTTAAAGATAAGTTCGGGTCACCTTTGATTTATTTCAATTTAAATGTTCTCTAAGGTATCAAAAATAGGTATAATCCAAAATTAAAAAGCTTATCGAAACATCGGACCAATCGACTAGTCGACCAATCGACTATCAAACTATCGCATGTCTGGTGCTCACATCACTATCTCTTCCATCGCTAGTTCATCTTTGTTTTCATCGCGTTCGGTTCTTGGCAGCGGACAATTTTTTGCTGCTCGCGAGGCCAGCTGAAATTAATTAAAATGCAATAAAATGTGTTCCGAGCCATTTGAATAATCACGCAGCAACAACAATGCGCGGCGCGACAGATTATTAATCAGATTCCGGTTATCTGCGAATTGCAGCAGCCCGAGTTTGCTGGGCAAAAGCAAAACGCGTGTGGAAATTTCGATTTTTGTATTGTTTGTTGCCATGCAAAAGACACTTGTGCAAAATGGGCATTAGCAGACACTAACGATTATTACTAAACAAAGGCGCAGTGATTGGGGCAAGAAATATAAATAAAATATTTGTTTATTTGAGCGTGCGGCGGTTTGCCAAATTAATCGCTCTCTTTCTGGCATTTCCACTCTCTTCTTTACGCGCCTTTCATTCAGCCACGCGTGTGTGTGCGGTTGTGTGTTTGTGTGTATGAGCGAGTGACGTAAACAAATGCACAAAAGCGAATGAGTGCAAGAATTTGAAAAATGCGATTGTTGATTCACGTGCCAAAGAAAAGTAACAACAAACGGGAGCAGCAGGCAGAGCACAACTCAGGCAGCAACAAATTGATATAACGTTATTGTTTTCGGCCCTCTGTTTTGTGCACCGCATTCGCTGCATTTGCCCTAGCTCAGCTGTGCAATTTCGCCTTGGTATTGGTGAGCGCAACACGTTTGTGTTCGAGTGGGAGAGGTAAAAACAGACAGAGAGAGCGAGCTAACGTAAACTCCTCTGCCAACGTCGCTGCTGCAGTCGACGTCGGCAGCGTGCGTCATTGATGCGACAGGTAAGAAGAAGCCGCGCTCTAATATACCCAATTTCCCAAATTACCATAGTTAATTACTTACGTAGACGAATATGAAACCAAAACTTATTAATTAGTCGGCAAGGCGGCACCTTTTGCAGGTAATTTTCCCAAACACACACACACTCACACACCCATTCGTACGTAAATAAAGCTCTCATGCAGCTTCGTTTACGTTTTTCGAGATAAGGCAAACGAGTTAATGACACTCGCGGAGCAAAGCATTCTTGCACACGCTGCGGCTCCTCTTTCGCTCTCCCTCCTCCTCCCATTCCGACCTCCTTCGCTCCCCCTCTTCCACGTTCATCACACTCTTGGCCCCAACTTGTCGATCGGAAATCGCTGGACATTGTTTGTTGGCCTGGTCGCCAGTCGCTAGTCGCCGCCAGTCGCCAATCGCCCGCCGCGCTAGTTTTTCCACATTTGTCATACACTAACCATAGCGAAGGAGTTACCTGGATTTCTGACTCAAAGGGTTTCGAATATTATTAATGGGTTCCTTGGAAAGGTTAATATATTCCAGTAACGGTAATCACATCCCAAAAATAATTTTATTTTACCTTGAAATAGAGCATTTTTTATTTTTCGTAAACTACTATATCGATTGTGGTTCAGAGTACCTAAAGAGAATTAAAACCCGGCTTTATATACATATTCATTCATTCACTTTATTACTCGAATTTTCCATTTTACCGAGTAATATTTTTGGTTCATATTTATGGTTCACAGCAGATCATTCATTTCTGTTTATGATCCACATTTAAGATACTTTACTCGGATCCAATAACACTTCCAGTGCAGATTTCTTTTTTTATAAATGAAACATCGTTTACCCTTTAAAATTTTAATAATAAATATACATAGTATGTTTTTAGCTGGTCATCAGAATCCTTGATTGGTTTTATAAGATAGGATTATCCACTAGACATTTCTAGACAATTCGATTTGTCTATAAAAATATAAATGTTGGTTGTTATTTAAAAGTCTTGTAGGTGCCATTGAATACATAGAGATTAAATAGCCAAATTAGAAATGTATATGACCGGAACAAGCCGATAACCTCATTTGTCATAATGCCTTATCATTATACATTAATTATTCGACTGCGAAACTAATGAATGAAATGCCATTTATTTATTTGATTTCTGGATTAAAACCAGGCAATTCTGTTACGTATTCGATTCAATTGAAATTGTATAGGAAGTTCGAATAGGTTCTTGAACTGGTCAAGGCCCAAATAAAATTTCTTGAGAGAGCATTCCATATTTGTGAGGCCTGCTCTTGCCCCTCTAATCGCTTGTGTTTATTATTGTTGACCATGCGCTTTTTGTTCCTTTTTCCCCTTGGTTTCAGGTTCTGGCCTTTTATTTTCTTCTCGCTCTGTGTGTTTGTCGTTCATGGTCACAAAATTTATTGGTCAACATTTTATCTTGGCCCCGGCACCCACGTCGACTCCTTTTCCAGCTTTGCAACTTGTTTGCTTCTCGTTCCACCTAGTTTCCTTCGTTTTTTCGTCTTGACCATTCTTTGGCCGGCCGGCCGCCCGCCCACATGGAAATTTAACGCTTCAACACGTTCAGATTTTTCCCAAAAAGAAATTGGAGGAAGCAGCGAAAAAATACTCGAGAGCACGGCGCTCAAAACAAATATTTTCAAGATAAGTTATGGGCATATAGCTTGGGTTCCGTTTCTCCAGCTATGAAAAGTTGAATGGGAAATGGGAAATATCTTAATTTTTATAAACTTGGCGGCGCACATAAATTATCGGTGCGGAATTCTTCTTGCGGCTTTCATGGTTTTTCGTCTTTTCCCCGCTGCCTTTTTGTTTGTCTGGCGCATAATTTTCGTGACTTTCCGCTTTTGTTTATCTTGAGGCGATTGTTGTTTATCTTGATGCCACTCAGATATTTTCGGGTCCCGCCCGCCGCCCCATCCCGTCCCCATACTTTTCCCATATATCGTATATAGAGCATATCACATATAGCATATAGCCACATCCAGCAAATTGGCAATTGCAGCTGCTGCTGGTGGTGCATAACTCAGCAGGCCCTTCAGGCATTAACCCTTTGTTGCCCACATGATAAACGATAGCTTGTTAATAAATCACAAGCCAAATGTGCATGAGTTTGTGTGTTTCTGCTGGGTCTATATGTCCTGGTTGGTCAGGACATGCAGAAAAAGTTGTAACAAGGTTGCCTGCCTTTTTTTTTGCACTGAGAAATAAGTCTTTCATATTAATATTTTGACAAAATTAACATTTGATGACAAAAAAAAAGATTTTCAAATTATTGAAGACTTAAAATGAAATGAATCATTTACATTTTCCAAATAAGCTGTTATATTAATAAACAATAAATCATTTGCTCCCCAACTAACCGATGAATATTGATTATTTCTCTCGGTGTTCTCCTGTGCTGCATGCCCCTGGTTGTATGCAACTTGATTGGCTCTGCTCTCAGCACAGGATACTCGTATTTCATATGCCTTTGCTAGATTTATGAAGTGCCGGACTGAGTCCCCTGCCAAGTTGAGTCCTTAGCTGAATCCTTTGCTATTGCCTGTGCCTCGGCTGCCTTTGGCATTCTAATAATTTTTTATTGTTGTCGTTTAAGTGGCCCATTGTACAGCTGGCAACATATTGTGCGCTTGCTGCAACATTGTCCTGCCACTTGATAACAGTAGGTGCTTTCCATCCATCGGGCCATCCCTCATGCTTTTTGCTCAATTTTGGCGTTTGCCATAAAACCAGTGTCCAATTCTGCATTCTTGGCCTGCAACTCGAGTGCTTCGAGTGACTCTCTGATAGAATGTGTATATAATTAGACATTGGTGATTAGTTGGTTTTTGTGTGTGAAACCGGAAGAACTGCTTTTATAGCAACCTTCTCTCGAGCGAGTGATTATTATCAATAATTTTAGTTAATTAAACTCGAGTGAGGAATTTAGTCAGGCTTTTTGTGTAGTTGAAATGAAGATTCAACGTTCTTTGAGAACACGTAAACTTTAATAATCTTTTAATGTTCCCTGTATAAAACATATCGTTTGATTATTTTGACACATCTTGTACCGATTATGTTTTGTTGTTTCTATTTTCAATTTGTTGACTCAGTTCACAGATATATGTAAACCACAAAAATGAGCTTAGCTGTTCCCAATACAACAAGAACCTAGCCTTAACTATACATCAAAAGTATTTACACTAAATGCTTCATAAAGTTCTTCGAATTGTGCTTATTTGCAAATACGAGTATGTAGATTTCTAAGAACTTAGACATTTATGTATGTATTCCAGTTCAAAACGTACATACTTGGATTTTTATAGTCTACGGAGTAAACATGATTGGATAGAAAACTGTAAGTGCATGTTTCGAAACAGTTTCTATTTTATATTTAATTCCAAGCCTGCTGGAACTGCTCCCGAGCAAAGCCGATCTAGGACCTAATCTGTCCCATTCTTCACGGCAATCTATTATGTCTAAGTTTCAGCTCACGCCTTTCTGCTGCTTACGCCCGTCTGACAAATCTCGTTTGATGCGGCTTAGGATGATGATGCATTGAGTGTCCCAGTTTCCTCCGGCTCCGGCTCCGGCTTCCTCACCAGCCAGCCAGCCAGCCAGCCAGCCAGCCATTCAAGGGGCACCCGTTCATATTTCTTTCATGCTCGCCCAGCATTCATACTCAGATTCAGATTGAGATTCAGATGGATGCTCGGTGCATTCGGCTTAGCCATTATTCCATGCCCGCTGACAATCATAGAGCCCCCAAAGCAGAGCTAGCCTAGAAAAAGGGGGGCCAAGTGGGGATCTTGGTGGAGGATTGGAGAATTGGAGGCAGAGCGTGGCTCAGATGAAGATGAAGGGGCTTCTTAATAAATGATTTGCTGCATGGGAGTCTGTGGGAGTCCTTGTTTAGCTGCTTTTGTTTTTTTTGTTTTGTTGATGATTATGATTTGCCGCCGAGACGAAAGCAAAATGCCAAATAAGCCGCCTGAAAAAGGTCGAGAGGTTCAGAGTCCGTTTGCTAACAGAATTTGCATTTGCGTTGGCAGGGTGCCTGATACCCAGACTTATATACGAAAGGATTATGTATACGCATATTATTCGGGTACATATCTGGCGAATGTAGGTATGTACATACATATGTACATCTAAGCCCGCATTTGGATTGATTTCGCATCGAGCTCATGCTATTTTTCCCTCTATTTTCTTGTTGTGGCCCCTGCTAATTAGCAGGTTCTGCTCTGCGAGATTTGTCCGGGATTCGCTTTTGGCTTGCTGGGTCCAACTGTGTTAATGACTATGCTAATAATGCCTTTTGTTTGTTGTTATTGGCTGCCGTGCATGCAACAGTGCTGCAGCTGCCGCAGTTTGTGGCAGGATTACGAATAAAAACCGGCAAAGAGCTTGGCCATTTCAATTTATGGAATGTTTTTGGTCTCTAAATTTCCCAGAGTTTTCGGTAATTGGGCAACCTGCGAGATATATAGTATTTACCCATTTATCGTTTTGATGATAGAATTTATTGAGGGCTGGTTCGTTTAAAATGCCATACTTCGCATAATAAGTTGCAGTAAGTTTTGTGTTTTATGTTTGACAAATTGATTTATGAATTGTTTAATGGGTATAGTTATGTTTTAATCCTTCAAGAGATTTTAACTAATAGATTTTCCGTGCAACTCAAGCTGCCTGATTCGCGGCAGTACAGTGTAAGCTGCTTTGGAGCTATTATTTCTTGTATGTTTTTTTTTTTAATCCTATTTGTGCAGTAAATGTTTCTGTCAGTGAGGTTTTCTAGTACTTGGGGCAGCTGGTGGTGAAGTTTTCGGTCGAAAGTCCCCTTTACTTATTGTTCTCCATTAGGAAGAGCTTTGCACCAGCTATTCCACATTTCCCAGTCCGCTTTCCCTTTCCCTTTATCTCCAACTCGCTGGTTCTCTGTTTGTATTTTGAAATTTTAAACGTTGCAAATGTTTTGCAACATTTCGACGGCTTTACCAGCTGTATGCTACTAGTATTCCTCTTTTTTTATGGGTTGTACGATTGCAGTTCGCTGGCTGCTTTTGTTGCTTTAGTTGTTGTCGTTATTTGGCCAACACACGCTCTGAATTCCACTTACACACACTGGCACACACACTTGCAACGCAGCTGGCCACACAATGCGGCTGCTTTTGGCCATTTTTCGCACACATTTTTCAAACTCGAAGGCTTTTCTCGCGCCCTGCGCTTTTCCGTTTTTGTTTGGCGGCGCCCTTTTTTCCTCTCCGCAAAGTATGATGTGTATGTGCCTTTGTGTTGTTGTTAAACAACAATTTGTACACCGCGTTAAACCAGGAAAAGCCGAATAAAATAAAAAACCAAGAAATTAGGATTAGCGGGACGCAGTTTGAAATACACTTGAAAATGTGGGGTGCTAAGAATATCGCCTCCAAACAATTTCAGACCTTGGGACAATTTCTACTATATAAAATTTCTTAACATTCTGTCTGAGCTCAAAAAATCTGGTTATGATCTGGTTCGATATATTTAGTTCCTCTGTTTGAAAAATAAGTTTAGTACTAACATTTTTGAAATCGTGAGAAGGTAGTATACTTTTATTTATATTTATTTTACTTTTTTTCTGTGCATTGTAAACTTGTAGGCAAAAAATATGACAACGCAAGCTGTAAAGTCTGGCGTTTTTTGTTTATAGGGGCGTGGCATCCGAAGCTTATCCCGCTTACCGCCATGTGAATGCTGCGGGCTCTGCTTCTTTCTTGTCCATTTATTATTGCTCTTATTTTGCATATTTTTATGTTTATGCGTTCTTCTTGTACGGCACACACGCACGCATGGCTTTCTGCTGATTGCCTTGTTCCGGCGCTTAAGCGTAATATACGTATGTAATACATAGTATGTATACTAAACATCTGCACGGCATCATTCACAACTTACTGTTAAATGAATGCACTCAAATCGAATTGAATTGAGCGAGTTCCTTGATCGAAATGGGGCAAAGTTGTATAGATACATAGGTATATTTTATTATAGGAAAAAACATTGAATGGGTGAATTATAAAACTGAAGGCAACTCTGACCGGAAATTGAATGCATTCGAGTAGATCGTTCACTCATTTCGTTTCCGTCGGATTTCTTCGTGCCACTGCAACGTGAGTGATCTCAATCAATCACTCATACTCGTGTTACTTCCCAATTTAAGTATTCCACTCATTTCGAGTATTGCCACGAACGTAAATTTTTTTCATTCACGCAGATTTCTAATATTTATATACCATTCCCAGAAATCCTCGAATCATTTTGAAGGATTTAATGACAAAGAAGGACAACATTCACATGACCTGCATGGAAACTGTCATGCATATATGTATCTATTCATTTATTTGTAATGCTTGTGGCTCATCAAATTAGTGCGGAGTTTAGCAATCACGGTTAGTCAAACAAACAAATTAAGCAATCTGAAATGGAACAATTTCCAACAACAGGAGAACACAAAAAAAAATCAAATTACAGCTTAACAAAATTACATTTTAAGTTCATGTTCATGTTCACGTGTTTCCTGCAACATTGCTGTGTTTGAAGTGTGGGAAAATGGGGGGTTTTTTTTTAATTTTTCTGGGGGGCGAGGTGTTATGGTCCAACATTTTCGCGCATTTAGCTGTCGTCGACGTTCCGTCCAGTTGGAAAGTTTTTTGTTTTGTATACCTTTGACAGAACGGAAAATGAAACGTTTCGAAAAGCCACGACGCTGCCAGGATAAAGAATAAAGTGTGCGTGACATGTCCACGTCCGCCACCCAAAACCCCTTCAATATCCTCTCCTATATGTATATACTATATGTATAGGTATACCCCCATTTATATTCGCCGCTTTTGTGTCCACAGCCCTGTTCATTTATGTGACTCCGTTTTTAGTTGCTAAAACTTTGCTCTAAGCTGCCGTTTTTGTGTGCATTGATGGGTTGGGAGGGGAAAATCGGGTTTTGGAGGAGTTAAATAGGGACCATGGATTAGGTTTTGCAAGGGGAGTGATTGCCAGTTTTGGGTGGGTGGCGGCGGCAGCAAGGCAATCGAAATGGATGGTATAAAGTCAATTTGTAAAATGGTGCGCCGGTTTGGTTGGCCATCAATGGACTGGAAAGCTCGTACCGGATACGGACAGAAAGAGATATTAGTTTATCTGCCGGATAGTCGGGACAGATTTATCCATGCCAATTTGCGATAGTTATAATGTAGATATTTCGCAGTTCAATTAAAGTGATTGGAAATTTGGATTTGGTCACTGATGCATAGCAGTTTGTATGATTCGATTTAATGAACATTGTATTTTTTAATAACTTATAGATAGATGTAGGTATTTGTCATATAAGTAACAGTCTTCCTATATTTTGAAATCATTTTCAAATAATACTAATTAAATTCTCTTCTCTGTTATGCGGCAAACCACTCAACTTCCAAATGCACTTAGATCTGCTTTGCTGTCAAAGTTTTATTTTCCCATTGCACAATGCATTGGCCCATTTTCGTTTGAGTATGCGTACTCATTACTGTTCGTTAATTGCATATTTGAAATGCCCAAAAGATCACAATCATTTAGCCATACACGTGCTTCAATTACCAATTCCCCAAGGTGCAGCTTCGTCCTTTCGTCCCTATCTTTCCCGCACAGTCAACACAATCACAGGCTTCTACACCCACACATCCTTGCATAGATCCCTTGTTGACCCGCTCCTATATATGGCTGCTGGTTCAATTGGTTCGTTCCTTTTTTAAACGCATTGACTCGTTTTAAGTGTAATAGAGTTGCCTGACAGCCACACACACAGGCACAGACACAGACAGATACAGATACACCAGATACTCACGCACACAGCCGCAGTGTCGGCCCATGCAAATGGCAGAAGCGAAAATCTATAGCAATCATCGAAAAGCCAAAAGCAACTACAGGTCAACTTCTCTAAGGCGAACGCGTTTCTTTACTAATGTTCATGGACTCAACTAGTAATAGATTCACCAATAAATGTAATCATAGGATGCGCTCCATTAATGAAGGTACAAAATCTGAAAAGATTACCCTTTTTTTTTTTGAGATTTTCGATCTGATTTAGCCAAGTTGGACTGCCGAACAATAGCGGCCCAAACAAACCTTGCACCCGAAAATTTACAACAATAAAAAGCGTTTTAACACACACAAAGCTCTTGAACCCTGGCAAAACTGCAATGCGACAAGAGCTGAGCTGCAGTTGAACAAGGCTAGAAGGGGAGGGATAGATGGGCACTGACAAAGAGTGAACAAGAGGGCGGTAGAGAGCGACCAATATGGACCATGGTCCAAAAGCGTTCGAACTTTGAATCCTTGACAAGTTCAAAAATTCGGACGCTTCATGAGTGCAAAATGGAGGAAGGAACAGACGACGGAGGACGGGAACAGAGCTGATAGATTGTAATCCTTGTGTGCTGCTTTCAATTGGCTCCTGCTGCCGCTCCTGCTTCGCCTGCTCCTTCCAGGTCCAACCTACTGAAAAGCCCCCTCGAATCCGCCCCAGAGCATCCATACTGTCAATTGGCTTTGTGTGTTCGAGAGAAACCAACACGAGAGTGCGAAACTGATGGGGTTTGCAGCTGGGGGGAGCAATTGGGAAAAGTTGAGCAGGACAAGGACAGTAGTGATTCCATGGCTGGCCCTGTATGTGTTAATTTAGTTTTGTTGTCATCAGGACAGGCTGTCCAGAAACAATTGAAACAATAACGAGACAGCACAAACAAGCAGCTTGCGGAGATTCGCAGGGAAAATGTAACCAAAGCGGTCAGTTTAATTACATTAGCGATGGTTGAGCTTTAAATCACTTTATACAAGTACATCTTATCCAATATATTATTTTTAAGATTATGTAGATTTGATTTTTAGATTATAAAAAACTTTATAGACGAAGTTAAATATAATTTGATATTGACTTATTTCCATTTTCCTCAGTTGGTTACAAATTAAAGCTGTCGATTCCAGGAGCTTTTTAGGAACATGTAAGTTGAATTCCAAATTTTATGATTATCAATAAAGCTAAGCCCTCAACGCCCAATTAAATATGTATCTATCATCTTCTTCAAAAGAACCCAATACTTGTTGCATGTTGCATGCTCATTTGTTTACATATTTTTTCCACTGTACGTCTTATTGAAGCGGACGAAAGCTTTCAATGTAATTTGCTTTTAACCCCCAAAAGTCGACAGCCTTGTAAGCCGCAAAATGCGTTTTTTGTTGGCATTTAGCATTTGATTAATTGCCAGACAGCTCGGAATAATGATAATGTCTCGGCCTCTGTCCGTGTCTGTGTCCTTTTTGCGAGGTCTGGCAACCCCGAGCGGATCCTAAAGAGACCCTTTAACTTTAACCTGCCCTCAAGGCGTTTTGGGGGTTGAATTCTACAAGATTTTCTGCACAAGGGGGTTGCATGGGTTGGGGGTAAGTAGGCGTCGGCTATTTCGTTAACAATAAATAACGCTTGAGACAGGCCCGAGGGTTTTTGTTTTGCCAGAGCGAAACCCCTCGAGTGCCACCGACGACGAGATGGGATGGGTATGAGGACGACGAGGAGGTCCTTTGATCTGATGCCATGGAAGGCGAAGGAAAACGTGCGAAAACGCTTTAGCTCGGCTGCGGAAAAGAGCCGGATTGATGTGGCGTCTAGTGGCGTCTACCTTGTTTGCTTTTCATAATGAATGCGGCTTGAGTCAAAAGAAAAAATAAGCCACCGGGGGAGTGAAATTCAGCTTGGTCCGGGAACTCGTCGGGGAGCTGTGCAAAAAAACAGGATACACACATCACGGCGTATCCTGTGCTGTCCTGGCAAGTTTATTGATCAAATATCGCATGTCACTATCCAAAAGCACACACACCCACACACACAAAACGGGCGGGAAAACCACAGGGGACAGAATACAGTTGGTTGGAAACGAAGAGAAACCATTATCCTTCGCCGCCCAACCATAAATGCCAACTAAAAATGTCATTTAAATTGTCGTTATGTCCTGTTTACTGTTCTCTGTCATTTGGCCAACTTTCCCATCCTCTATCAGCGTTTTGTTTTCCACTCTTTCGGCCGTCATCATCATCAACATCAGGGGCAAAAACTTTCTGGCTTTTACGGTCTCCTCGCTAACCGCAGGCTCCAACTGAAAAAACCAGAGAGCATTAAAACCGACAAAAATGAATTGGCGTAAAGTACATACACGCATTAAATGTAAAATGAAAAAACACAGTTTGACCCAAATATTTCAGTGGCAAATCAAAAATTTGTAAGTACACCAGCGGGGGATGATGATTTGACCCCCGAAAAGAAAGCGCAACGAAATAATCCTCGGAAGTCGCACAGTGGTGAGGTGGCAAAAGAAGATGTGAAAATTTAATCTGCGTAAACTTTTAATTAATGCGGCAATATTAAAGGATAAGCTCAGTAATGAAATTCGACTGATGAATACATTTATATCCATTAAGCTGAATTTACACTGAAAGTGTAAAGTGGCTGGAATCTGTAGAAATATTTGTTTATAGACATGCTTAAAATAAATATGTTATTTGGTTCGCAATTTATAAATACAGAAATAGAATTGTAGTTGGCAACACTGTTTAAAATTATGAGTTTCATAGCTAATCAAGTTAGGCTCGGTTCACGTTTTATACTTTTATATTCCGAACTTTTTGTATCATCATTTACCGTCATCACTCTTAATTTAATCATAAATCATAATATATATACATTATCGTTTCTCTTACCCAGTGTGTATATCAGCAGGGCCCAACTGTGGCATCTAAAAATGCATTAAAAAGTTTTATTGTTGGTTTTTTGTCCGCCCAAGCGTGCGTCGGCCATATTTGTTTGGCTTCCGTTTCCGCCGCAGAAGTCCTGCTCGTCCTCGTCCTCATCCTCATCATCTTCCTTTTCTCTTGCTCTTCCTTTTTTGCTACCCACGGAAGTTGGCACATTAAAAAGCGCTTTGGATCCGTTGCTTTCCGCTGCTCGGGAATATCCTGGGGGCGGGAGCTTAAGAAGCGAGGGGGAGTGGCAACGGGAGGCGGCGAGTGTATAAACAACAACATCATCATCCGGCGCGTCCTTTGTGGTCATCAGCTGTTGCAAGGTGTTAAGAGCCAACATACCGCATGCCGCATGCCCCACAATAACCCTCATTAAGTTAATGGTCAACGCTCATCTCAGTTTTTCCTCCTTACCACTCGAAATGTATGAGCAAAAATTCATTTGAAAATTATTAATTTTCTGCTTGTGGACAATAAATTTGATGTAGTTTGATATCCCTTTTTTTGGAATGCCTTTGTGGTCTGGTCTTTGGGCTCCAATTAGAAAATCAATACGCTGCACTTTGACACAAGTTAATTCAATTTGTCGCCGGCAGCCAAATGTAATTAATGGTTTCGTTTGGTTCGGTTTGCTTTTTGGCAGCAGCTGCCTAATGAGTTGAAATTGTCCCATAAAAAGCTTGGGAAAAGTTTTTTCTGTTAGCATTTATGGGGGGCAATAACTGACAGATTGTGTTGCCTGTCGCTTGATTTATTTTAACTGGCATTTAAATGTTTTTTGATACGAATTTAATTTTTATGTTGGCTTAAAAGTCACAAGCGGAATAATTCATTTGTTTCACCGAAATAATTACTCTGTTTATGGTCGGGCAATTCGAAATATTCGGGTATTTAATGTGTCTTGATGTTTTATTTATCATTGAATATCTTTATTAAATATAATTGTTTTATCTGTGGTAGCTGCAATTTTTAAGTACTCATTAATTCACAAAGCGTATTTGAGTCAATTCATAATTGCATCAGCGAATCATCAATCCACTTCATGGGTATCAACATGGCCATTAACTCGCTGATCCTAATAAGCCTTGTTATGTGTCACTGTGCCCATTTCAGTCTGATTGTTATGGTGATTACCATCACCATCACGAAGATCTCTGCCCAGCCAACACTGCGTATGTGTAACGTGGCTAATAGCAACCACAGACAGCTGAAAGAGGCCAACTAAACTAGCCGACATTTGGTGTGCTTTTTACGGCGTCGAGACAACCAAACAACAAAAAGTGGCACACAACATCTCTAATATGAGAGTTTTATTTTATTACATTTTATTACACATAAGTTGGCAACAAAATGCGTTAACACACACTGACTCACAGACACACAGACGGCAGTCTGCAAGGATTCTCTGATAGACAGTTTCCATTGAAGCGGAGTTGGCAGTTTAGAGCACGTAGAACGTATCTCCGTTTCCGCAGATAAACGCGCTCGTATCTGTGTGAATGGGCTGTGGCATCTGTGTGGGTGTTTCCTTTTAACAAAATGTTTTGATTTCCATGGGAAGGCAGAACGCTGCTAGTCAGCTCCAACTAATCTGTTATCCCTGAGCTGAGTTTCCTTTTTTTCTACGGAGGTCCTTCTTCTGTCCCTCCTTGTGTACGTTGGTTTTTGCTTTTTCAATTCATTTTATTTATCGGAGCATGAAAGACGCCCCACAGATACAGACACACATTCACACATTTGAGATTCAGATACAAATAGAAATCAGTAGATAATAAAAAAGCACAAAAAGCGGACAACCAAATCAAAATGAGAAATCGCCACCTCATACCATTTTCGGGTGCGAAATACGAGTATCTGAAAGGCAACATTAGAGGAACTAAAAATGGGGCTTATATATCTGGGGCTTTATCTGCTCTAACTACATTGGAATGCTCTGCACTTAAAGAAAAGTAGATTAGGTTTGTTACGGATTTCCTTTTTTTTTTTTTTGCAAAATCTCCAAGAGGCTTAGAACAAATAAGCTTCTTTTAAAATATGCTTTTCTATTGTGTGAAATTTTTGCAACAACCTTCTGTTCTTCTGTTCGAAATGTGGCCAAAATAAGGCAAATCCGTTTTCTCTGTAGATGTGAAGATAGTGGGGATATACTGTCCGAAATTGGTGCAATAGCAAACAGACTTTAATCAACAAAATAGTGGGCACACTCAGAGCAGATGCACAAACATCCTTGGGTTTATCTTTGAAATCGAAACCGGCCTTCCACTCCCATTTGGCCTAATTGATATTCATTTTATGCATGGCTCTCAGCCTGGCCAATGGTTCTGTTTACGAAATATTATTGCATTTCGGCCATCCGCCTCCTTATACGTATCCTCATCAATTTTGGCCCAGACTAATTAAGATTGTGTTGGAAATGACTGCTCCTTGGGGTTTTACTTTTGTCATAGTATACTTTTCAGCGCCAGACTAATTAGTGAGTGCAGATGAAGTTGTTGGGTCGGCAAATTGAGTTGGAAATTCAATTTAGCAAATCACAAAACGAAGGACTTCAATAAAAAAAATAGGTACAACAACGTATACCAAAGCATTGGAAATGACATAAAAAATGGACAGCGGAGCGAAGTTCAAATAAAACAAAGCAGCAGATAACAACAATCAAGCCCTTAGCAGCACAGTGAGAAAAGTATGGTAACACATAATTTGGAATAACTACAATATGTGTGATGATTTTGGTTGGCCTCTTACCTTTCATAATGCAATACAGAAAAAAATGTAAATTGGCCTTGTTTTCATTTATTAACCTTTTTGTGGCACATCAACACTGCCAGTTTTAAACACCCAATTACGGACAAATTGTCCTGATATTTCTTCTCTGTGCGAAGAAGTCCCAGCGAGTGTTGACGACAACAAAATGGAGTTCGCAAGGCTCCGGGGGAATGAAATGGCAGGGAGTCAGGACTTTAAGGACACCAATGAGAGCCACGTTAGAAATGACAGCAAGGATGCAGCTGCAATGGCTTCCCACGGCCATTGTTGCTTGCTATTATCCTGCCACTGGCAATAAAAACCACCGCCGTCGTCGCTGCCTTTTATTTTCTTGTTGCATTTTTGTTTCTTGTGCGGTGTGTTGCCTAGGATTTTTGCAACTTTCATGCCAGGAATTTCTCGGTCACTGACATGGCCCAAACGACAGCAACGAAACGCGGCT